AGAGAAGAGATGATCCCTCTGATTCCTCTGATTCCTCTGATCTTCTGATCCTCTGATTTCTCTGATTCCTCTGATCGCTCTGATTCTCTGATCGCTCTGATTCCTCTGATTCCTCTGATCCTCTGATCGCTCTGATTTCCTCTGATCGCTCTGATTCCTCTGATCTCTTGATTCTCTGATTCTCTGTCTCTGATCTCGATCTCTTGATCTTGTCTCTGATTTCTCTGATCGCTCTGATTTCTCTGATCGCTCTGATTCCTCTGATCCTCTGATTCTCTGATTTCTCTGATTCTCTGATCGCTCTGATTCTCTGTCGTCTGATTTCCTCTGATCGCTCTGATTCTCTGATTTCTCTGATTCCTCTGATCTGCTCTGATTCCTCTGATCGCTCTGATTTCTCTGATCGCTCTGATCTCTCTATTCTGATCGCTCTGATTCTCTGATCGCTCTGATTCTCTGATCTCTGATTCTCTGATCGCTCTGATTCCTCTGATCGCTCTGATTTCTCTGATCGCTCTGATTCCTCTGACGCTCTGATTCCTCTGATCTTGATCGCTCTGATTTCTCTGATCCTCTGATCCCTCTGATCTCTCCTGTGGTTCCTTTCAGCTGCTCTGTTGGCGCTTAAGTCCTCTGCAGAGTTCAAGAAGAAAGCCGTATGGACCAGAGCGTACGGCTGGTAGCCCAGAGGAGCCTCGGTGTCCTGCTCAGGTGTTGCTGCTCGTACACAAAGAGACGCACGGCTGCTGGTCTGAGCTGTGGGCATGTTTAATGTTAGACAGTAACTGTACTGTAGGAATCTGTGCTGTCAATAAAAGTGCAACAAATCATTTTGGGTTTAGAACATCCTTTTCTCTCTTTACAGCAGATCGTTACATTCGACTTCATCCGTAACTCCAGCGAGCTGTGACTTCATGTTACTTCCTCTTCCTGTTCCACTTTTCCAGGTGGTGGTGCCTCTCCTTCAGCAGCTGCCCGACTGTGAGCGAGGCTCCTGAAAAGCAAACAGTGTTTTACACAGTTACTGTACAGTTACACTACAGTTACACAGTTACTCTACAGTTACTCTACAGTTACTCTACAGTTACTCTACAGTTACTCTACAGTTACACTACAGTTACACTACAGTTACACTACAGTTACACTACAGTTACACTACAGTTACACAGTAACTTCATTCATGACACCAGTTTAACATCGCCAGATGGAAGATCCTCCTCAGTGTTGTCACCACAGACCTGGTCAGAAAGCTCGGACACTATGATGATGTGACAGTGAGGCCTGTAACTGTTCTTCATCGTCCTAGTCTTCCTCAGGAAACTGTCACCCATAGTTTTTCCAACAGTAACAAATCAGGAGAACCTGAGAACGTTTTCTTTTCCTTCAGTCTGTGTTCTAGTTCAGGTGGATTTAGGTCGTGTTACTGAAGCGACCGACCTCTGTGTCTAACATCTTTTTGTCTCAGTTAAGGTTCTCGTCTAAATGTGTTTGCTGTACATCAGCCTGACAACGCCACGACTAACCGTCTGATTAACCCTCGTCCAACCAGCATGTTTAACATACAAGGACGAGCGACTGAGGACCACAACAGTGACCTCATGTTAGAAAACTAGTAATGGTAACATATGTCTTAGTTATGTAACGATTATGCAGTATCTAAAGAAAAAAGTAAAACTGTCTCTGCAACGTTGCAATGCCGATGCTGCAAGTATGAAATGTATAGTTTAATCTGTTTTACAGCTTTTATTAAGTTTAATCCACATGATTACTCAAACCTTACTGGCATCAGAGCTTTCAGTCACTTTAAGCATCATTTGTTCTGTATTTGCATGAAGCAACTAGTCAGAGTCAAACTGACTGCAAAGTAAAAAGGCCCAGAGCTGCACGGGGAGGTTGTGTGTAAATATGGACAGAGTCAGATCAATGCCCACCAAGAGTGAGTCTGATTTATCGAGAAAAGCTTTAACGTGGCTGCACGCAGGGAAAAAGAAGCTGAAACAACCACAGCTAATCAAAGTAGAGGCTGACGGAGGACGACTGCAGTGACCATAAGTGTAAAGGAGGAGCTTGGACTCAAACTATCGTGGATCAGGGCAGCCGTGCTGCGTTTCAGCAGGTCCATCAGGTGACTGTGATGTCACGAAGGGTTGTTCTCCGTCTTACCAAGAGTGAGGACGGGCAGGTAGAGCGCCAGCACCACGGGGAGGTGGCTGTTTGGAGCTGTCGTTGAGTTGAGTGGACACGACTGGGAGGCCGTTTGCTCAGCATAAGGCAGCGCCTGATAGATGGTGGCAGCTGAGAGAGAAACAAAAAGGGGAACAAACGCTTTGACTTCATCCACTATCACAGTGTTGTTGGCCTGTGTGTCACTGATATACAGGACGTTCCAGCACTTCTGCTTACAGGCAACGGTTACTCACTGCAGCTGGAATGCACTGTGCTCATTTCCTGGCTTCATATCATCAGCTCTGCTTGGCTAACACATTTCCTGTTTGCTCCCAGCACTTCCCTTACACAACACTCTGACCACACAATGAACCTCTTAATGTTGAGAAGTCAAAGTACTTATGAGCTCAGCTCTCAGTTTGTTGGAATAAAAGATGGAAACGTAATGATTCAACACCTTCAACGATGACTGTGAGGATGTATAAGGGGATCCAGAGCGTGTAGCGAGTCCACAGCATGGTGCTGGACGGCGTATCCATGACACACAGCAGCTCGTGAGGATACCTGTCATCAAACCACAGGCACAGCTTATTGGACGAGAAACAATGTCTGGAAATCCAAATGTACTCAAATCATCACGTCGTATATCATAATGCAGCTACATATGGTGTAGTACGAATACGGCATTAAGGATATTATCATTATTATCATTATCATTATTATTATTATTATCATTATTATCATTATCATCATTATTATCATTATCATCATTATTATTATTATTATCATTATCATTATTATTATCATTATTATTATCATATTATTTATTATCATTATTATTATATATTATTATCATTTATTATTATATTATTATCATTATTATTTATTAATATTATTATTATATTATATTATTATTATCAATCATTATTATTATTATCATTATTATCATTATCTATCATTATTATCATTTATTATTATTATTCATCATTATCATTATTTCATTATCATTATTATCATTATTATATATTATCATTATTATCATTTTATCATTATCATTATTATCATTTATTATTATTATTATCATTATATTATCATTATTATCATCATCATTATTATCATATATTATCATTATCATCATTATTATCATCATATTATTATTATCATTATTATCATTATTATTATTATCATCGTTATTATCATCATTTTTATTATTATTATTATCATTATTAGAGACATTGTTGAAATTGTGCCTTCAGAACAGTCAGTCTGTCCACAGCACTGGAACAAATGTGGATGTTTGCACTTCAAATATTTAGATGTGAGTGTGAGCACGTTAACCTTCTACAGCACAGATCATCATTGTTCATGTTAGTATTATGTGTGTGTAAATACGCTCCCTCCTCAGGCCTGGGCCCGGTGTTATGGAGATCACCATGAATCAGTCACGGGCCGGTGCCTGAGTCGTTTCAGGCTCCGCTGTGGTTTTTATTGTTACTCTGTTTTCTTCCTGTGTTGTGAATAAACCTTCAGTACTGGTTTCATTTTGTTGTGTTTATCTGCAACACCTTAAAGGCCGGTCTGTGGTGCAAAAAGGTTGGGGACCGCTGGTGTAAATAATAAGCTGCTCCACCAACACTCATTAAAGCTCCAGTCAGACATGCTTGGTTTTGTATCAACATGTCACAAAGTGGTTTCTTTTTCACAGAAATAACCAAAAATATTTCCACTGCGACCTGATATCAGTGGATCTCACACTGGAATGTAAACTGGCTGTTTAGGGGGGGGTCCCTGCCCTGGGTATCTGCTTAGAGGGAAAGTGAGACCGCCGTGGTTTAAAAAATGCACATAGTTTGACACATCAGTAAAATGATTGTATCAGTGCTGAGAGGTCAGGTCCAGGCAGTGCTGTTCAACTGTAAGGAGCTAAAAGCTTCTTAAAGCTCTGCATCCTGTGCTTTTAAAACGATTTAACAAAGTAAAGTTGAAGTTTGAATGCCGATGTGTTTGTGCATCACTGTAAAACCTGCGGTGCTTACCGGAGGAGGTCCAGCACGTTCCAGAAGAAGAGCTGCACGCACACCACCGGTTTACTCTGCAGCTCCTCCAGCATGATGATCATAATCAACAGAAGGTTCTTCTCCATCACCTGAGGAGCAGGAAGACAGCGCGTCCGTGCATCAATCAAAGATAACAACAATGATAAAAATGTCATTAAACTTTGAGCTGCGTACGCACTTGGATGAAGCGAGGAAGGAGCCGGGCTTTCTCGATGCCGTCCGCAATGTGGAAAAGCTCCAGAATGGAGAGCAGCTGGCAGAGACTCATCACAAAGCCCACAGAGTAAAAGGTGTCGGCCAAAGCATCTGCAGTCACAAACAACATGTGCGGCATGCTCATCAGTCCTAACTTGGAAATATACTTCTTAGTCAACTTATGAAGCATTTGGAGCGATGTCTGTGTTTACTGGAAACTTCACTCAGCAGCAGCAAATGAGCCTTTACAGAGAAACGAGCAGCGCGGTCCCTGTTTGTGTCCCACAGCAACCTCACGCAAGAAGCGAACGAAGGCAAAGAAAGGATACCACGTCAAAGAGCTCTGAGAGAAAGCGTTTAACCTCAGGAGAAAACACAGTCTAACATGATGTGAGAGCGCTAACAGCCAGACTAGCAGGAGGCTGCTGCTCCATGAACTCCTCTGATGCAGGTCTGCAACTCAAGTTTTCACAGGAGGATTTGGGGGAAGCAGAAAATGTCTGAATACCTTTTCTTAAATACATAAATTAGCTCGATGAGGCTTAATGAGATTTAAACGACGGCCTGATCAAACAGAGCCTGGAGTCTAAGCTGGGTGTTTTTCTATATCGGTCCAAGCGTCCGTACAGCATCGGTCCATCGCTCAGGGTAGCACTGCCATCTTAGTGCCTTTATTATTTACTTTGACCTGCACAGCTGCTCCACAGACCGTTCACTTCCTGGAAAAGTCAGACTAATTCAGATTAACTGAGACTGGTAAGTTTTCCTAACCTTACCTTGGCCGAACATGAGAAACCTGGCGACAGTATTAGCCAGTATCCACGTGTGGCCACAGAACTGGAACAGGTTGTATGAGAAACTGTAGGCGAGTCTGAAGCTGAACCTGCAGAACAGGAATAAGCACACAGATTCGTTACTGTGGTTTACACAACGATGATGATGATAGAGGTGACAGCAGCTCACTTGCTAAACGTTGTGCTGAGGCACAGTGGCATGAATCCAGCCATCGGTGCTTGTTATCTGTGTGAGCTGCTGCACCCATCCCAGCGCTCTCTCAGGTCAGCTGATGCTTCCCTGCTCCACACATGCAACACAAGCTCAGCGATGCAGCAGCTTCCACAGTCGTGGCTCCAACACTGTGGAAGTATTTCCCCTGCACGAGGCTCCCTCACTAAGCTGTCCTTCGGTGCTGACTGAGATCTTTAGTTATTCTGCTGTTGTTCAACCTCCACAGCTCTACTGCGGACTCTGGCCTGTTTGTATCATTGTACATGTTCAAATCTAACAGTATGTTACCTAAAAGGTGTACATCTGTAATCAGATTACTCTTACTTACAGACCAGACTTGCATCCATCACTAGACGTGTGGATGCGTCTGAATGAGTGAGTGTAAGTAGCAGCAGATCCCAGAGAGACTCCTCACTTCCTCGTAATCACTTACATTGTCCTCCTGAAGTCTCGTCTCCGTCCAGTTTGGACTCCTCCGAGTTCAGCGTGTGAGGAAGATCATGTTCCCCTAACCGGACACTCCTCCTCCCTTCACAAGAGAAAGCAGAAAAAACACACTGCGGCCAATCCGTGTAGCTTCCTCACGCCAGCTGCAGCACCCACGACTTCCCCACAGTAACACAGAAGGCTGTGGACTCCCGGGCAGCACTGACACGGGCAGACACGAGCATGTAGAGACAGGCGCACGCGTACACAAGCGGTGAGTCACGGAACTACCTAGCACATGAAGCCAGACATCATCCACAGTGGAAGCTGTGGCTACCGTGGAGGACAGCGTGGAACAAACTGTGGCTTTTACCTCCTGAAGCTTCCGTTTTATGTTTAAACACCACCTGGGTTCAACCTGCACCAATAACGTGTACAGGTGTACCACACCGATCAGTGCAATCAGCTAACCAGACCAACAAAACACTAGAATGTAGCTGAACAGAAGCATCAGCTCTTCAGATGTTCTGTCTACAAAGGCGGGACAAAAACTTACACGTAACTGCATCTGTTTATGGGGCGCCGTTTGTAAACTGAAACATGCCGAATATGAAAAGTTACAAATATTTTACTAAATGTTGTAAAAAATGACTCGAAAAAACATGTTTTTGTAAGATTTAGAGCTAAATGTGGAAAAATGTTGCTGTTAATTTCGGCATGTTTCAGTTTACAAACGGCGCCCCATATCTGTTCTCAGACAGCGCTGTCACGGATCTCTCTGTTTGCATCCACTGGTGACATTACTGCCACCCTGCGGCTGAGGCTGGTTACTGCACAGACAGCTCCACTGGTTTCACACTGACAGAAACGCCCGTGAAGCTGCCTCCATTGTTCGGACTGTCCAGCTCACTTTAGCTTTTCTCCGGAGCGCATTCACCGAGCAGCTAGCATCAGCTAGCATCAGCTGGAGCATCAGCTAGCATCAGCTGGAGCATCAGCTAGCATCAGCTAACATCAGCTAGCATCAGCTGGAGCATCAGCTGGAGCATCAGCTAGCATCAGCTGGAGCATCAGCTGAGCTACATCACTGAGCAGCTGGAGCATCAGCTAGCATGCTGGAGCATCAGCTGGAGCATCAGCTAGCATCAGCTAGCATCAGCTGGAGCATCAGCTGGAGCATCAGCTGGAGCATCAGCTGGAGCATCAGCAGCTGAACAGCTTCGGTGACCTGTCATCGTAACAGTCTCCTCGTACTAACCAGCCTGGTTAACACGTGGTTTAGTTTAGAGACGGTGGAGTGAAAAAGTTGTTACTAACTCAGCCAAAGATGACGGAGAGTGGACGGCAGCTCATCCGGTGTTTTCACCAAAAGTGATTAAAAAGGCTTAATGAGCAGGCTCAGCCCTTAGACTGCAACCTATGAGACTAAGCAGCGGTGGCAAAAGTACAGACATGCTGTACCCAAAGTACAAGTACAAATACTGCTGTTAAAAATACTCCAGTAAAAGTCACAGTACTCATTCAACTTATTTACTCGAGAGAGAAAAGTAAAGGCTCTAAATGTGCTCAGAGTAAGGAAGTAAAGGAGGACGCTTCTATTTTGTCCTAGGCTGACTGAACCCTGTGCTATGTGAACATAATGATAGAATAATATCAGTAGAGGGGAACACAAACTTTAGTCTGAAGAAAAAGGAAAAGCAAATCTATCTGCTGTTGCCTCCTTGTAGAGGGGACTTTGCCTGTAAACAGGAAGTCAGAGGTTGAAGTGGGTTCAGCAGGTGGGGAACCTGAAACTGGTGTCACGGCTCAGTGAACTGAATCAAACTCGCACTCATCTCTCCTGAGAGCTCCAGTAGGTGTTGTGTGCAGGCTGTGATCAGCTGGCCTGCTGCTCTCTGTGGATGGACACACCTGGATTCAACCAGATGTGAGCAGATGTTTCATCCTCCACAGCCCATCAGTGGATCTAAGCTCATCAGCTAAAATTCATATGACTCTGCTACATGTGATGCTAACTGTGGCCATGAACCCACAGCCACTGTGCACCTTTAAAGAACAGCGAGTTCTTTAGTTTTCACAGTGCAGCAAACTAACCTGTTTAACCTGCACTAACATGCAACCTTTAAGTATCACAGGTAGTCTAACTCTGTCTTGCAGCTGGTTTCACCACATAATGCCACATGCACGGATCCAATATCTGTTTTAAAAACATATCAAATACCACTGAGCAGTGCTTACAGTGACAAAAGCTGCTGGGATGAACCCTCTGTGGCCACAACATCTGTACATGCAGCACAGAAGGAAACAACATCAGCAATACACTGATAACTTTATTAACAAGGAAATACCCGACAGAAACTCAGGCAACATAAGGGGAGTTCAGTTGCAAACACCACCTCCTGCTCCTACGTGTGTTTTTCTGACAGCAGACTGGTGATGTGCAGCAACGCAATGGAGCCAGTGCAGCATTTAAACATCGGGGGATCCTGATTGATCAGAAGCAGGGCTCTCCAGCTCCAGCCCAGAGAGCTTCTGTCCTGCAGCTTTTAGATGCATCCCTACTCCAACACACCTGAACCAAGTATGCATCTAAAAGCTGCAGAAGCTCTCTGGGCTGGAGTGGTGGGGCGGCTCCGCTGTGTGGGACACCGAGGAGCAGCAGAGCTCTGCTGCTTAAAGGAAAAAGAGCCACTGTCCTGCCTTCACACAGTGCCACCACGTTCATAGGTGACAGGTTTTAACCCGAGTTTGCTGAAGTCTAAATGGACAACGCACAGAATAAACATCATCCTAAGTGCCTGCGACCTCTGAGCCTGCTGCAGCGTCTCAGTGTTGTGCACCCCGCTCGAGGTCTCTTACTGTGTGTCGGGACATTAGCCTGGTTTGCACAGCACAGCTAAGAATTATTGCAAACATGAAAACGGAGAAGCTCGACATAATGTTCTGGCAGAGACGCAGCCAAGCAGCACAAAACATCAGAAACAGGTTTTACTCATCGTGCAGTCATTACAAGGAGCGTGTGCCAGTTTCTAACTGAGGACGTTTTCAAGTCTCACTGGAAATCAGCCACAGAGAGGGGGCGCTACATTCTTCTCATGGGATTAATGTAGTCCTAGATCAGGGTCGCCCTGCTATTCAGCAGCAAGCCGCCCCTGTTACACCTGTGAACATCCAGGCTTTGGACACTGAAACGGTGGAGGAGCACAAAAACCTGGGTGTTCACTTCAATAACAAACTGGACTGGTCCACAAACACAAATGCACTTTACAAAAAGGGCCTACGTCGTCTCCACCTGCAGAGATCCTTGGGGGTGAACAGGACACTGTGCTGGCGTCTGCTGTTTTCTGTGCTGTGGTGCTGGAGTGGCAGAGAGGGACGGGGGGACCTCAACAAACTGAGGGCCAGCTCTGTCCTGGACCGCCCGCTGAAGTCCATCGAGGAGGAGAGGCTGTTGTCTAAGCTAACACCCATCATGGACATCACCTCCCTGCATGAGACTGAACACCGAGCTGCCACAGGTCGTTCTTACAGCAGCTGTCAGACTGTAACACACAGTTGTCTTACTCAGCAGCTGCTTTGTTCACTGCACATTTCATGTTTCTGTGCACCGTTACCTGTGTGTACAGACTGCAGCTGCTTATGTCTACAGGACCACTCTGAGGCTTCCTTTTATATTTTATATTCCCATTGCTACAAGAGCTGTGTAACACCCAAACCTCTCATCCATGGGATAATAAAGGTCTATTCTATTCTATTCTATTCTATTCTATTCTATTCTATTCTATTCTATTCTATTCAGGAAGTCTGCTTTGAAAAACTAACAAAGCGCCAGGAACAGAGGGAGCTGAGTTACTTTGTATGACAAACTGTTCCTGTCTACGTTTGTTCTACCTGTGGAAGAAACTGAAACAAAGAGCTGGAGCCGATCCTGCAGCTCAGAGGAGACACAAGCAGGAGAACTACCTCTAAATCCTCTACAGACAAACCTGCCTTTATTTGGCACCTTCCCAGCATTACTGATCATTGGTTCAGCGCTCTATGTGCTATTCATCCAGGCTTTATGGCAAAAGTAAAGTAAATAACACAGGTTGTGCTGTTCGTTTCTTCAGAAAGCTGAGCTATCATTTTAAAGCAGCGTTGGGACAGTCGAATGTTATAAACGTGTTGAAATAACTGATGTCTCCAAATCTGCCCTTCCACACTACGCTGTTTCTGTCCACGGGTCGGGTGAAATTTCAGCGTGTCACACAGTACGGTGGCCGTTTTAAACTGTGGAGCTAATTACTGTGAGCCCAGGAGCACAAACAAGTTATATTTAGCCAGCCCGCAGACTGCAAGTCCTCAGGAGATACAGTTACTTCTGCAGGACGTATCGCAGCAACATGTGGTCACCCGTGCTGGGCCGAGCGGGTAACCCACCTCTGCATTTGTTAGCACAGAACCCGCTGCAGTCTGAAGCCTGTCTCCATGGCAGCAGCAGACATGGAAACATTGTAACACGCGGTCTTTCTCTGAGAAGGTTGACTCTGTTCACCTGGACAGTCTGACTGCAGGTTTCCAACCTTCTCAACAGGAGCTGAACCAGCAGCACTGATGAACAACGGGCCGCTCAGCTTATGATCATTAGTACGCAAACTGTCACAGCCGCTGATCCTTGCATGAGTCCACAGACAGGTGGGGAATCCCTCCAATCACAGCATTGTAGAGCTGTGATTGGAGGGATTTCTTCTCTGTTATTGTGGCACCATTCCTGTAGCAGAGGCCCCGCCTACATTCAGAGGTGTAAATGGCCTGCTTGACTCAAACCAGAGCGCTCCCTCTACACTACAGCACACTGACAGTGTGTGTGCTGGGCCTTGTATAGACAGCCCCATCTCTAGTATTAAACGGTGCTGCTCACTCCACCATCCACACACAGCCTGGCAGTACAGACTGTGCTGGTTAAACTCTCGCCTCACTGTATTCTGACTAAGCATAATTAATCACATGAATCATGGCTCTGTAACCATGACAACATAAGGATGTGTTGGTGACACGTTTCTGTCACACACACATCTGCTGCACATCTGCAGACACATTCAGACAGAATCATGTTCATTTTTCATTCAGCACATTAATGAATGAATATCTTGATTTTCTCTGTGATTAACAAGCCAGACGTGTAAGCATCTGGATGAGCTCTGCTGCAGCCCTGGGTGTGTGAGAGCGAAGTGCTCTAATAGGGTGATATGGTACTACAAGGTCATTAAGATAAGATGGGGCCTGATTATTTAAGACCTTGTATGTGAGGAGCAGGATTTTGAATTCTGGATTTAACAGGAAGCCAAAACAGGAGAAATCTGCTCTCTTTCTAGTCCCTGTCAGGACTCTTGCTGCAGCATTTTGGATCAGCTGAAGGCTTTTCAGGGAGTTTTTAGGACTTCCTGATAATAATGAATTATCGTTCAGCCTGTGTCAGACGGCCGGTGTTCAGCGGCCTGAAAAGTGCGTCAGCCCACTGGGGAAATACTCGATTACCAGTCAAGCCTGGATGGAGACGTAACCAAACAAACAT